TGGGGAGGTAGGGTGGGAGAGTGTCAGTAGAGGTAAGTATTATTGGAAATACATTTTCAGTTTAGGAAGATGTTAACTTCCAAAACATACTAACCTCCACTGACACTATAGCTAGAATCCCACATTGAGAAGGTGAATGGGCTTGCGCAGGCATGAACCATACAGAAAGCATCAGTATAGAACATGAGTGTACCAAGATAAAAATGGTACAAAAGTGGGGGAACTGCACTACATCCAGAACAGGTATGCTCTTCACCTGGAACTCAGTTCCTTTAGCAAAGGTGGAATAGAATATGAGTAATTGTCAGTATATGAAGAAGTATAAAAGACAACACCCCAGGCTTGGAATGACAGGATCGTGTATGCTTGCTCAGGAGTCCTTACCACTTTCAGTTTCCAGTTGCTGGGGTGGTGGACAGAGGCTTTTCCTTCAGAGTGTTCTAGTGTGTTCCTCCACTCTAGGAGAAGAGGGCAAAGTTGGGGGCCCTCCAAGTTGGGTCCCTGGATGTTTTTCCCAGATGTCAGTAGGAGTGGCACCAGCGTCCACGGGAGCTAACTCGTCATTCTGGTTCAGATATGACATGAAGCTATCTGGTTGGGGGGTCAATGTCGATTTCATATATTGTTCATGGAAAGATGTCCACTATCTCTTCATAAACGTGAAGTGGTCCCATGCTAGGTCCTTGGTTGAATACAGGTTCCACATCCTCTCCATAATTCCAGGGGCAAGCAAAATACTCCTTGCCATTTGGTTGGGGAGTGAGAATGAATGTTCATAATTCCAGACCGGATGAATTCTGTTCCTTTGGTTGAGTACTCCACCATAGAGTCGTGGGGGGGGGGGGGTAATAAGCATTGGGGAGCCCTGAGGAACAGTGCTCTGGAAACTGTGCAATAGGTGAACCAAGTTCCATACATTTGTAAAAGCAAACAGATCTCAATTTATTCAACCTGAAGATTGGCAGGGATGGGCAGGATCCCCATTAGCTTTACTCATGATAGTCCATGAGTGGTGGTCCATAATAATAAGGTAATACCATCCAGTAGGCACCTAAATGGTATTATAGAATACCCCACTACAAAAAGCCTGTTGCAACCTGTAGTAATTACAGTGGTTGCTAGTGCAGAAATGGAAAAAGAAAGCATACCTGCCTGGGCAACACTCGTCACGGAGTGGGATCCAGTGAAAAAGAAAGGAAATAAAAGAGGATTGAGGAAAATACCTCTGGTTATAGGCTAACAGATGTGGTCAAAATAGCTATAGGGGATAGTCAAAAACCCTCAGAAGAGAAACCTGCCAGATTATGTAAGTAATGAGATAGGAAAATATTAGGAATAATCACATATCAGCCCGCACAATGTCTTCCAGAGAGCAATTCAACCGGGTGGCTAATAACATAGAGAAATGACAAATCTTCTGAGATGTGACATGCAAAAAGATTCCTCTCCTGTAACAATGATCCATTATAGGTCACGTGAATCAATTTGCAAAGCCACCTCATTAGGGTAATAAGAGATAAGTTACAGGAAATAGAAGAATCCCAAAAATGGAAAATCGATTCATAGTACCTTGAAATGAGTTAGTATGAGCCAAATAATTATTGAGAGCCCTGACAGGACATAGCAAATGATAAAGTTCGAAGTGGTCATAAAGGTGAGAAATGGCTGGCAAATGGATTGGTGCCAGAGTCTTGGGAAGAAAAAGACTTATTCAGGTAAAGCAGAACAAATGTGGAATGATAAAGAGTCTAATGCACATGGATTGCCAACAACTTTGCCTGATGATGTCCACAAGCCAACAGCTACAAAATTACAATTTAAGAAAAGGGTGAAACAAAGAATACGAAGCTAAGGGCTGAAAGGGAAGATGAGACAATGCATGTAAAACAACTGTAAAATCCCAATTCAGTAATTAAAAAGGTAATTTGGGCTGAAGAATACACAAGGATTTGAGTAAATGTGATAGTACTGGGGATTCAAAAACCTTCCAATATTTGGAATACTGAAAAATAGTAGATAAGGATGTCTTATATAAAGCCACTGTAGACGAAGCAAACATGTGGGTGGAGAATGTCTGATTAAGGTTGTCTCAACAGAAACTGCCAAAGTAGAAGAGGTAGAGGTGGACATTCAGATACTAAAGAAGCAGTAACCACGTTTGAGCTGTACAGTTTGATGCAACCAAGAGAACTTGACAGATAGTGGAACGAACCATAGTCAGAACCCCGTGGCAATAGCCAAATAGGAGGAAAAGCATACAGATGTAAACCTGTCCAGTCCTGACTGAACACATCTACTACCAATGTTTGAGGATGAGGTGTCAGAGACCAAACAACTGCAGTTGAGAATTCCAATGAATCGCAAAGGCATTGATTGTTGGAGACTTGAACTGAGAGCAAATCCACCAAAAAACCTCGTGATGTAGCATCCATTCAGTCAGAAGAATCCAGTTGGGTCGAGGTAAGTCATCTACAAGTAAATTCAACACTCCTGGAACATGACACGGTAAAAAGACTGATATGAAGGGAATGAGCCCAGTAGAGAAGATCGAAGGTACGAAAACATAGGTCTTGAGAATGTGTGCCTTCTTGACAAGAAATCTGAGATACCACCTTGAAATTGACAGAAAGTATCATGAAAATTTTTCTCTTCAAAAGAGAGACCTTGAACCATTGCCCGGTGTACTGCAAGAAGTTTGAGAATATTTATATGGATGGTACACTTGTCTTCCATCCAAATACCCTGGAACTCCTGACCTAGAAGATAAGCTCCCCCAGAAGCATCTATGAACAGATGGATCTCAGAACAAGATGGTGGAATGGGTACCCCAATAGTAGTGTTGTTCTGATCCAACCACCATTCACAATCTACAGTGTTGCTCCTGAATCATGAAACAGGATTATCCAAAGGATTGGAATGCATGATTCACTGGTCGTGCAGTGACCACTAAAGGGACTCATATGAAGGCCTCCCAAAGGAAAGAGAGGCTTGAGAGATGCCCACATCCCCAAAAGAGAAAAAAAC